TTATTCTAAGGCTTGGCTATCCTGTTAAGACAAAAACCCCTGATTTGGCCTGACCTGAACAACGTTTACCACAAAGAGACAAAGAATTGATTTATGATGTCACCTACGAATTTCTCTTCTCAGAGGAAGTGATCTTTGTTAACTTAAAATCTCCAACAGTGCTCATAATGGAAGACACTTGACACAGAGTCTGATGCTCATGGCTGCCCTTTACTTATGTGTTTTCTAACCTGCTTTCTTAAGTCAGTTTTAGGTCTGCAAGACTCAAGGGTAACATGTTTTCTGTTTACTTTGTCCTGTTACCAATTATTTACTATAAGGATGGAAAACCTAATGTAAATAAGAAAATTAAGTTGCAAAGAAAAAAAAACTTAAAACATAATGACCTTCTGCTGCACTGACATTTTACAAAAACAAAACAAAAACTGAAAATGTGGTGGTAGTCATCCTTCAGTCACTAAAACAAACCTTGAAATGTGAAGTCAAACTTCTCCAAAAATAGAAATTTTCCAAACAGAATGAACAGCATGGTCATATAGAAACCCTCTTCTCATCCAGTCTGTCATCTGCACAGCAGCAATTACATCTGACAGGACTCCAAAAGTGAAGCTGCTGGAGAGTGGGGCTCATCCGCCAGGAGCCTATGAGTAGGAGCGCTTAATTTTTATACTATTCAATATTGCATTGTGTATCCTACCAGAATCTTATTAATAAAATGAAGATGGCCAAACATATCTCCCAGGAATGCTTCTCAAGAGTATGGTGGAGTCAGTAGATGGACCACTTCCTGATTACTCAACAGCAGACACCATGAGATGAGCGATGGCTTTTCTTTGTCCCATTTTGGAAGAATAGAATTGTTCAAGAGAAAATGAAAGAAGAGTGAGATACAATGCAGTTTACTCCACTAGTTTTATCTTTTATTTTCCTGTGTGTGTTTACATACAATGTGTGGGTGTGTACATGTGCTTGTAGGTGTATATGTGCATGCATGAATGTGTTAACATTCATGTCTTCTAATATCACTATCTACCTTCTAATTCTGAGATAATCTCCCATTTGAACTCAGCATGCACAGGATGGTTAGACTGGCTAGCCAATAAATGCTGGAGATCTGCCTCTCTCTACTTTCTACCCCATAACAAAGGTTGCAGATTATGCCAGATACACCAGGATTTTTACTTAACTGCCAGAGAAGTGAACTCAGGTCTTTTAGCTTACGTGAACTTTACCAACTAATATAAACCTCATTATTTTGCTTTTTAATTTGAATAAGATTTTGATTTGGGAAGGTGTCCAGATGGATTGTTTAAAATATAGACCTTCCAAGTCTTCATTGTCTATTTCCCTGATTTTCTATTAAGCATCTACCAATGGTGAAAAAGCTGAACACCTCTTTAAACTCAGATGCTCTGCAGGTATAAATTGTTCTGTGTGCAGAACCATGGGGAAAGAAATACACAATTGTTTAGCCTCTCTCTATCATGTGGTAGATGCATCGATCAGATTAAAAACCTTATGAAAGGAAGAATTTCAGTAGGTAAATAGCAATCTGGTTGAAAACAGTTTTAATAGTGATTAATATTTTACCGTGACTAAAAACTCCTTGCAGCCAAAATCCACTCAGACGATAGCATTGTTTACACAATGAGGAACAGCTGCTTGCCCCTCACCACAGTCAGAGGCGCAATAAGCTGGGTGAAACATTGGCAAATCTTAGACAAACGTCTGCTGGTTAAAGCTCAAAGTTGCTGCAAGAACAGGTGTGTTTGAGAAAAATAAATAAATAAAAGTTACAACTGTAAATAGGGTTGTAAATTAGGTGTAATTTATATACTATACACCATGTCTTCATATGAACATCTGAAATAGGGAGTAATGGTATTTATCAACAACTTGAAAATTAATCACAAGTGTGGACTACATGGTGACAAGGTACTAAATTGTCTGAACATGTACAACCAACACATTTCTCTGGCACTGATGGTTCATCTTAAGTGATTCTGCTAGAAAAAACAGAATTGCTAAATCTCTCATTATTAAAGTATTTTAGTAAAACTGTATTTTGGAGATAAATAGAAGCTCTGATGTTATTAAGGAACAGTGGCCTTGACAACAGTGGCCTTGACTCTTAGCCATCATTTTTATCTTCAGAAAAGCCAGGTTGCTTCCATCTGGAGAATTTCACACACATTTTGCAGAGGAAGAAATGTGAGTTGATGCCATATTACATAATACTGGAGAGACAAAATATGAAAGGAGACCATTTCCTAACAATGAAGAAAATCTGTCTGCTTAAAGCCAGACAGATTACAAGGTGGTTAAAGGATTTTAGAGATTAAATTGGAGGAGAAAACTAGAAATAACTCGGGTCATAAGAACCACTAAAGAGTAAATACTAGCATATTCATAAAATGCAAAAGAATATAGTAGATAAGATGACACAAGTAAAAATTCATGTATCAAAACACTAAATTTCATCAATAACATTGAATTTATTAAAACAGAAAATAAAATGGTTTGATATCTTTTCTGTATATATTAGGTAGGAGATAGATGAAAGATAGATAGATAGATAGATGATAGATAGATAGATAGATAGATAGATAGATAAATAGATAGGCCATAGATAATGCAGAAACTTCTCAACTTCTCAGTAGCCTTCATGGCCTGGAACAACATATTTAGCTTAGGATCAACATGAACTTTTGATCTCTTGCCTCCATCTCCATAGTGGCTGCATTATGGGTATGTACCATCATGCTGAACAATCACACTTGGTTTTGTACTATTGGGGACTGATCCTAACGCTCCCTGCATTGTAGAAAAGCACTTTACCAACTGTACTATATTCCCAGTCCCACTATTTCTAAATTAATGAAAGATAATAAAAATAATGCAATATGATGTTTAAGGACATACATGTTGGTGAAAACCATAAAAGCATTATGAATGAGGATAATACATTACAATCAACAACTTTTTATAGTCATGAATTGATATAAGTGCTTTGAGGCAAAACCTTGAAAAGATTATTAATTATATCTGTAATATTTTATTCCTTTAAAATCTGACTCTCCCGTACAAGAGTCATGGCTAGAGAGGAGGCTTAGTGGTTAAGAGCACTTGCTGCTCTTATAAAAGACAGGAGTTTAGTTCTCACATCAGGCAGCTTACAACCATCTGTAACTGCAGTTCCAGGGGATCCGACATACTTTTCTGGCCCCTGTGGACAGTGAATGCATGTGGTACAAATGCATACACATATAGATAAAATATGTTTTCAATCTTAAGAAATAGAAAAAGTTTATATGTTACATGTGCTTAGAACATGCAAACTGAATAGGGTTTACAGGTGTATATGTTCAAAACCTGTCTAGAATGATTAAACTAACCAAAGGACAACATTCAGTCTGGAGCTTCCAAAGACCAAGGCTATGAGGGCCGTATTTCTGGGACTACCTTTAGGAAGACTGGAGAGAAAAATCAGCCCAAGAAAAGAGACTGAGAGTTTCTTCACACTTTTCCTTTCTAAAGTCCCCTCCCAACAGTACAGAAAAGGGTGGATCCCTCAACATTGATATTTTTGGGAGTCAAAGTCCCTCTGTGTGCTTATACCTCAATTTAAGTCTTATGCTGAGTTTCCTGTGAAGCAGAAATCTACTGACATAATTGTTTTGAGTCAAATTATGAATAAAAGGCTATTTGTTTACAGCTAACAGGACCTTCAGAATTCTTTCTTTAGTAAAATAATGTGGCAGTTGGTCCAATTGTCATTGAACTGTCATTCAGTATTCCAGTGCTAGCAGTTGGAGCTCCCAGACTACAAGGTTAAAGTCTGAATTCATGCAAAGGCTGCTTGAAACTCAGCCCAGTGTCCAGTAGCTTCAGACAGGCAGCTGAGACCAGAGGCTGGCGGGACTTAGAGTGCTTACTAACGCTGAGAATGACAAGCAAGTAAGAGAAAGAGGCATCACCTCCCCCGACACAGAGAGAGCCTGGAGACTCTAACTGATTGTAAACTTCACATAAAAGATATCGTTACTGGTTCCTTATTTTGTTAACATTTGACAGGTTGCTGGCAGCTTAAACTAAACACAAAGTAAGTTGATCTGTGGCAAGGCAAGAGAGTCCCCAAATGCATGCTAAAGAATCAAGATTGCTAATAGTGAGCCTCGAGGAAGAAATCAAAACCCATCTTTTCTTTTTTAGATATAAAGCTTCTAAGAGCCAACCGTGGACTTACACTTGACCCTTCGCATCCATTTGTCTCTGCTCATCTTCCAGCCCCCGCCTTTTCTTTTCCAAACATTTCTCTCTGATTTCTCTCTGATGCTAGTGAACCACCCCGGATCCATTGGAACCCACAGCACCAATTACTCTGCAGTACTTGCGGAAGCAATATGCCAACAGCAACCAGGGAGAGATGCAGATGTAGAAGTCAGAAAAGCAGGGGAGTGGTCATATCCCTAAATGGCTAAACCAGAAATCCCAATTAGATCAATACCTGTCAATCACGCATCCCTGCAGGGGAAATTGAATCACACAATTCAAGCTTTCTTTGACTCTCCCCTGCCAAGTGAAGTAAAAGGCTTTAGGCATCAGGTTAGGTCATTGCCAAGCTCTCCATGGGAAAATCCCTCCTCCCAAGGCTTCGGTTTTCCTACTCCCTTAGGCACCGCTTCAGCAGCTTTGTTCGAAAACCTGAATTAAATGTCAGTATCTGGACCCTCATTTGGGACCCTCAAAGGGAAAGGGTAAGTAGTTATGGTTTTAGGGATGCTGGAATGCATGAGTGGAAAGGAGAGAGAGAGAGAGAGAGAGAGAGAGAGAGAGAGAGAGAGAGAGAGAAATCTTTTCTCCTTTCCTCTCCAGCAGGTAGCCTAAGTGCACCGCAGCAGAAGTCTGCTGGGGACGTGCAAGCGACCAAGGACCCGCCCAGGCCACTCTTATAGGCGAGCGCGGGGCGGGATCGGCCGGGGGCGGTGCCGCGCAGAAGGCTCCTATAAGGAGCTGTCCGCCACCCTAGTGCTGAATCCAGCTCTAGAACCGGAACGAGGTGCTTTTGGCTATTGCGGGAGCTGAGCGCCAAGAGCTACCCTTGAGTTCGGATTTGAACCTTTAAGGAAGGCTATCCGGAGGAAGAAGAGGCAGGCGAGGAAGGTGAGCACGGAAAGGGACAGTTTCGGGAACTGTAAACCTCGGTCGCAGCTCACAGCTCCGAGGAAGCCCTGCCACGGTTTTGCTGGAGCGTCTGAGGAGCAGGATGGAGTAAAGAAGAGTGTCTGTTCAAGGGGGGTGGGAGGGGTCCGGTGCTGTGTAGGAGAGAAAACAGAGAGAACGAGAAAGAGAGAAAGGAAAAGAGAGAAAAGCCAAGCCTGCTGCCTGCGAATTTGGGATTAGATTGGAAGAGATCGTTCACTCGGGGGAAATGGATTCTGTACCAAGACTGACCAGCGTTTTGACTTTGGTACTCTCTGGCTTCTGGCATTTAGGATTAACAGCGACAAATTGTGAGTATTCAGAGCTGGGGGCGGGAAGGTGAGGTGGGATATGACGCTACTAGAAATAAGTGTCCACCGTCCGATTGTATATGCTCTGGGAAAGAGCTGGGTGAAAACCCTAACCAGTGTGGTTCCACCATTCCAACCATCCCAAAAGTTAGGAGAGCTCTCATGAGCTTGCTCTGCTGAATTGTCTGCCCTTTGGAATCTTAAAGTTCCCTTATCCTGCTGCTAGCTTCATGGTTCTTAATCTCAGACAGGGATGCACGGGCCAGGAGCAAACCTCCAGGGGCAGAGATGCTCCGGAGTCACCGAGTTTGGTGACAGGAGCGGACTGCAGCTCCCATGGCTTTGCAATGTGCCCTTAACACCTCTTCGCTCACCTCCACCCTAAGCACCGAGCTCTCTCCACTGCCTTAAGCAGAAGGCTTCAGTTGGGGTGTTTTGTAACCAATGGGCAACTGTGTAAGGGGATTGGAAGTTTGGGCCTAAAAATTGTAGCTCAAATGTAGTCACCCTAGGAGACCAACGGCTGTCCTGTCACAGGAGGGAGAGCTTCAGTGCCTATCTCACCATCACAATCCTCCTGCCGATGAAGGAATAGTGAGCATGCACCGTGTTGTACATGTTTGAACTTCACTTAGCAGGCAGGTAGTCTTTGCTCCCAGAGATCTGCCACCTGCACTATTTATTTAAAGAATCCAGTTTGTCAAACTTGAATAAATCACTAAAGCTACAAGAGGCTCAAGCTCAATTGCTCAGCTGCTTCTCTAGGCAGAGGAAGGGAAGTTTTCCCATCTCTGGGAACTCCTAAATGAGAAAGGATGCAATTAAGCCATCTGTGTTGTTTGCAAGGATGGCTTATCATGGTCCCTCAAGTTTCTGGATTTGTTCCCTCATCTTCTATTCCTGCACTTAACCTCAGAAATATTATCCAGTTAGGAACTATTGTATTTAACTTCTGTAATTTATATTACCAATATCAGTAAAAGGGGGCAGGAAGACTTACTACTGCCTTATTCCTTAATCCCTAGCTTCATCCCTAGAGAATATTCCCTCAGAATTTCCATCCCAAAGTGAAGATAAGTAGATAAATGTTCAAAGTAAAGCCAGTGTTTCTGTGATGCAAAGATTGGAAAGCTCACAATCTATAGTTATATCATTTTCTTAAAGTTTGTGTTACAGAGGAGGGCAAATGAGGCTATGCTCTCTAACAAGAAGGGAGAAACTAAGAAATTATTTCAGAGAACATATTAAAACAGGCTACAGTCAGGTAGATTGACTTTTCTGTCCTGACTTCTTCCACTTCTTTTCTCTAGTTCTCCTTTCCTTCTCCTCTTTCCCACTCTCTTTGAAATTATTCCCGTGGTGCCAAAGACCCAAAAGCCTTAGAAAGTAAGCTTCGCAACTGAGCTACTTTCACTACCTCCTGGAACACTAGAGGTCAGTGTTGTCCAAATGATGCAAAGATGTGGCTCTAAACTGCGCTTTCCTCTTAGCACATTCTGTTATCTGGAGAGAACACTGTGAATATCCAAAAGGTGGGAGTGAGGGATACTGATGAAATGGGTAGAGCACAAGGTACAAGTGCATGACTTTGGCCTCGTCAAATATTATTATCCTTCTTGAAAATTCATAAAAAAATCTTGGAGTCATATTTTCTGTAAATTCACTTAACTTAATATGATCAACATATTTCAATATCGTGCATAAAATTAAATGGCATGTGTTTAAGACTTTAGCTTTTTATGGTAAAGACAGTTGCAATGTCTGCTCCGAGCATTTCAAAAGAAAATTGGTGATATTGATCTTTAGAATTTCACAAGTGACAGTTGTGCCTTTCATTTTCAAGCAACATAGCAATTGAGTGAGTGCTGCTTGCTAAATATTCGGGAGTCCGTTTTCTTAAGGAATAGCAGGGACTGTTTGCTGTACTCTGAAAATTGTATCAATCCAGTAAGCAATAGGGTTGCAGTAAGAACTGGTTCTGAAATCAATACTTATTAGTGGTCTTCAGAGACTATATGGCAAATCCCTCACGGCAATCATGAATATTTCCCGGTTTATCTAGGCTGCTGCTCAGAATTTTTATTCTTTAAGTGTAGGTATTGGCTTTGCTACAGATGTACAATCTGTTTCCATTTATATAGATGCTTTGATAGGTTAGACATTTCTTTCTGAAGAGCTTTCTTTTAATTTGATTTGTGAAAATATTTTTTAAAGATTGTTTTTCCTATATTATAAGGATTATTCCATGTCATCAGAAACAAGCAATCTTGAAAAGAGATTATCTTCCCTCAGGATCTTCCATGGTACATAATCATAGGTAATATATTTTAAGTGTAGTGGGTCTCTTAAAAAAAAGACTTTTAATTGTATGCCCTTTTTTGTAATGACTTGATGTTGTTGTTATTGTTGTGTAGTATGTGAGTATCTATTTGTATACATGTTTAATTTTCTCATACTCTGTTCCAAACATGGGCTTTTATCTCCACAGGGATAAATGAATGCTTATCCAATTACACATTCTATAAATTTCTAATTAAACACAATGACAAGAGAGTCAGGTTAGAAGGGGTCTAGCCATAATACAGATATTACAAATCCGTGATGAGAGTGCAATTGCCTACCAGAAATAAGACCTCTGTAAATTCCCTCATTCTGGACTTTCAGGATATTAAATAGCAAGAGTGTTTCCTTTGGGTATATCCTGAGGGAACTGGTTAATTTTGATTATATATTGTATATAATACCGAATATACATAATAGACCAATCTAAAATTTTAAGAACTGTTATATATTCAACTCCTTTGACACAATAAGCTATGGTGTGGCTTGAGGGTTGGATAAAATGAGACCAGAAGTGTCTATGAAGTTCTAGTTCGAGTGCTGTCTCAGCTCAGGTGCCAACTACCTAGTCAGTCATTGTCCTTTCCATCCTGAAAGTGAAATGCAGTCAGCAATAGAGATACATGTACACCCCAATTTCACAGCAGCTAAATGTTTTACTAAGGCTATTTACCTAATATGAGGCTAAATAAAATGTTATAATGACAGAGTATCAGAAGAGAAGGCCTGCACATGACACACAGAGGACCACTATCGATTTAATTCTTAAAAAAGAAACATATTACACAATTGTTCATAACTTTAATTTGTCTGAAATAACTTAGAACAATCACTAAGTACCTCCTTGAAATTTGTTGCTGCCCAATAAGAGTCCCAGAGACAGATTATTGTGATAAGAATTCATAACTCCCTGTTTTAGGTTTTTCTTGCATACTGAATTTCACAAGACCTGTGAGTGTGTTGATCATGGTAGTAAAGATATATCAGACTCTGAATTGCCTGAGGCTGTTAACAAACCAAATTGAAGAGTAAGATGAGCAAAGATTGTGCTGTTCTCATGGGGCAGATAAATGGCTGTGCAGTGCTTTCTTTGACATCTATAGCTACCAGCAGTGCAATAACGACGTACTGCTCAGCTGGTGGAGTCTGGAAGGTTTCTCCATCGTCAAACTAGCTCGTTTCGACCTTTACTGCTCAACATGAAATAGTTTTTCCTTCACACAAACCCCATATGTAAAGCAGATGAACACCTTTCAACTATAAAATATAAAATTTAAATTAAGAACTAGAGGAGGGATTCACAACAAAAGAAGAGACTTAGGAGATGATCAATGTCTATGAGATAACCATGCTCTCACCTGCATAGCCTTCTAAGGAAGGGCCAACCCTCCTATTGTAGTTTCAATGTTTCCTGCCCGTCTGCACAACTGGCTGTAGTTTTCTCTGGGTGAATCACTTTTCTTTTCTGTATCCATTTATCATAAAATAATGGGCTATGATTCAGAGCATCTCTAAATCCTTTAGTTGGTGATTCATTGTCTTTCAGTTGATAACCAAGAATTGTGATAAAATATGACTTGCATGTGATAATTTTTCCCAGCAAATAATAAAATTGAAAATGGGTTTAGTTACTTAATCAGGCAGAAGACAACAGTTTTACTAACAATTTTAAGAAGTTGCATTGCTTTAATTTTGAAACAGTATTGACATCATTAATTTCTAAAGGAAACTGTTTCATTCAGTAAAGCTATGCCACCTTTACCTGGTGACATTGTAGAGGTTATTTACTCACTCAAATAAACTTGATTTGCTGAAAAAAAAAGGCCCTGATTTAGTCACTAGGACAATGTTTACTTCTAATGTGTTTTCATAATTAACTATTAATGCTACTTATTGGTCATTTCACTTGCATGTGTTTGAGATCACTGCACTTTAAAACTGGGAGGCAACTATAATCAGAATAAGACTTTAATGTGACTTTAATTCCTAGTAGTAGGCATGCAGCCTATATCCCTCACTTACTGCACCCACTTTACGAGACTGTTCAGCAAGCTAGACATTAAATGATCTGGTTCATATGAATGAATTTCAGATGAGTAGAACATGTCCCCAATATAACTAATCTAAGCAATGAAAAAAAATTGAATTCTGACATTTAACCATTTTTATTTTTTTATTTTTTTAATTTATTTATTTATTAAAGATTTATGTCTCTTCCCCACCACCACTTCCCATTTCCCTCCCCCTCCCCGTTTGGATGCGCACCTTACTCATTTAACCATTTTTAAACACAAACATCGTTGAAACGAAATATCCCCAATGCACTTCACTAGGTACCTTGCGTAGCATCTGCAGGAATTTGGCAAGGGTTCTATAAGATCAGCCTCATAACCTGAGCCTTGGAGAAGGGCATGAGTTAGCAGTTTTCAACACACCCAACTCCTGAGTCATACCTGAAAAAAAAATGCCAAAAACATTCAGATCAAGACTGGAAGCATGACATTAAACACTGCAATGTTCAAAGAAAAGCGACTTTATCTCTATGCTTGTACCCAGAGTTGAGGATTTATTTTTCTTTCATATTTTTAAGTTAAAATCTTTATAGGGGATGAAGAAAACCTTGAGGAACAATTTAGAAAACCCTGGTGGGTACACACAAG